CCCGGTCCATCCTCCTCCACCACGTGTGCATGTCACAGCCGAGGTCCTGGAGGCACCCACATGGGGAGGGGAGGCTGGGTTGGTGAAGCAGGGTGGTCCTCACCCCTCTCCATCCTCTCCGGGCAGTGGGAAGACATGCGCGTGCTGGAGACGGCAACGCTGCAGCACCACCGGTCAATGAACCCCTGCCCTCTCTATGATGAGTTCACCGGCACCCTCTTCCTTTTCTTCATCACGGTGCTGGGCAGGACACCTGAAGCCTACCAGATTGTCACTGGCCAAAATGTCACCCGCCTCTGCTGTGTCACCAGCACTGACCAGGGCCTGAGCTGGAGCACGGCCACGGACCTGACGCAGCAGGTCATTGGCGGGACCATCAAAGGTAGCCCACTGGACAGGGGCGAGGAGGGGGGAGGACAGGCAGCAAGAGCGTGACCATAGGTTTTGGCCTCCTGGAGCCAGTGGCTGGAGGTGGCCTTGGGGTAGGAAGCCCACAAGCATCAAAAGAGATGGGGTGGAAGGAGGACCTCAAGCAGAGGGGGAGAGAAGATGGAGAGGCCCGTGGCTATGGGTAGCGCCATGCATGAGGACAAACAGGCAGCGCTAGGGTCTGCTGCCTTCCCCCCTCCTTGGTCGGCTAGGCTGGGGGATGCTCTGGAGACCCTTCCACATGGGGAATGGCTGGGGCACCACCATCTCTGCTCCCCAGACTGGGCGACGTTCGCACTGGGCCCCGGGCACGGGATCCAGCTGCGGTCCGGCCGGCTGCTGGTGCCCGCCTACAGCTACCACATCGACTGCAAGGAGTGCTTCGGGCAGCTCTGCAAGACCACCCCTCACTCCTTCGCCTTCTACAGCGACGACCACGGCCGGAGCTGGCGCTTCGGGGAGTTCATCCCCAACCTGCAGACGGGCGAGTGCCAGCTGGTCTCCGTGGATGAGGAGGACGGCTCCAACGTCCTCTACTGCAACGCCCGCAGCCCCTTGGGCTTCAGGGTCCAGGCACTCAGCACGGATGACGGGGCCGTCTTCCACGGGGGGCAGCTGGTCCAACGGCCGGCG